GCCCGTCTCTTTTGTGAAATGGTCCTAAACATCATATATGAAATGTTTTTTGCTAGGACATACTTGCGTATTTAAATCATCATCATTGGTGCCAACGACAGTAACTTCAGGCCTTGGAACATTAGTATCTTCTGCAGTTGTCATCTGCCAGGAAAAGAAATTGTTACATCAAATTCAACTTGAATACTTAACCTATACAAATAAATAATAAAACAGAATAAAATCTACCCAAAAAAAAAGTAAAGTAAACCAGTTTCCAAAAACATTTTTGTAAGAAGTAGATCCAGTCGAAGATAGCTAGATCATAGCAACAACTGAAAATTTAGCCCTAAAAAAAAATCTATGACACTAAGAATTAAAACTAGTTGCTAGCCAATAAATTCCGCCAACATATCCAAAAATTTCAACCAATTGGTGGATAATAACAAGATCTTGAAGAGGTGCATCTAAGATAAACCCCCTAAATTTGCAGAATTTAACATGTATGTAACTTATCATTCAACTTCAACATGTTGATTGCTAGATCAGTAGAATGATCGAGATGGTAATATTTGTGAAAAATATGTTAGCAACCAGATAAAGAATTCACTTTAAAGTGGAAGTTGACTGACCAGAATGGGGAGCAGTTCCAAAAAAAAAATAATAATAAAGTTTCAAATTCCAATCTATTGATTTAGCAATTTAATTGAATTAGTCTTTGTAATTAGTAAAGATTTTTAGCATATGCACATAAATAAAGTTTTCCCTGGAAATCACAAATTATTTCAAAGAATTTAGAGCCAAATTGAGTCAATTGACTCCATTACAGGAACTTCTATACAAAACAAAAGGTAAAATATGTAGATAAAATCATAAAATTAAGTAGATAAAATACAACCATTTTCTAGTAATCAAACAACAGTTAATGCATGCAATCAGTGGAAAACCATTACAAAAAATAATTTGTAAGAAGTAGATCCAGTCGAAGAAAAGAAGAGAATAAGAAAAAATAATTTACAAAAAATATTCAGAGAAGAGAAGAATAAGAAGATCCATGCAAAAATCTTGTGAACTCACCGAAAAAGAGGTAAATCCAGTCGAAGAGGTCGTCGTTGCTTCGATACGCAGAGGTCGTCGTTGCTTCTAATCTAGTGAACGATGGATTGAGAAGTGCTGGATTGAAAGGCGAGAGATTGGGAGATAAGAGGAGGAAGACACAGGCAAAGAGTGAAGATTGAAGACAGTCATAGAGGCGAAGAGAACTAGAGGGGAAAGAAGACTGAGAGAAGTCTAAGAAGAGGTTGCAGGAGGCGCGGCTGTAAAATGAGATGAGAGTAAAAGGGAGCTAGGGTTGACTTAAAACTTAAAAGAATAATGAATAAAAAAAAAAAGGTAAGTTAACAATATTGTGTGTATATATATATAATATTAATATATTATTTAAGTAACGGTTCGGTTCAGATTGATTAACGATTCTGATAGGTAACGGTTCGATTCAAATTGGTTAACGGTTTGGATTGGTTATTTTAGGGTCTAATCCGTTAACCGAACCGCGAATACCGGATTGCAAATTTTTCAAACCATCACCGAACCATGAGATCTGAAAACCGAACCGAACCATACGGATCGGATTGGTTCTGACCGGATTGACGGATTGACAGATTATTTGCTCACCCCTAATTATCACAGCATTAAGAGGTGTTATTACCTACATGGCTTTCCAGTAGGTCACAAGCTTCATGGGAAGAATGTGAAGCCTCCCAATCAGCGTTACTCAAATGCAAACAATGTGAATGTGGAAATAAACAAGGCATCGGAGACAAGAACGAAATCTCTTCCTACCGATGATGAACCAAGGCTCACCACTGAGGAATATAACCAACTGAAGGCCATGATTCGGAAAAACAACGATGGTAACTCACAACACTTTGCAAATGCCACAGGTATCATCACACCATCATCAAAAAATATTCTAGTTGCCCCACACTCGACTTTATGTTGGATTATTGATAGTAGAGCCACGGATCATGTGACTTCTTCCATTGAATTATAAAACCCGAAAAGTTTGCCTACGACATCCATCATTAGTTTGCCAGATGGTGGTCAGACACATATTGAGTCAATTGGTTTATTGCATGTTTCACCACGTATTAAACTTGATGAAGTCCTCAAAGTTCCACAATTTTGAGTTCATTTACTATCAGTTAGTAAACTAACACGAGCATTGAAATGTACAGTGACATTCTTTTTTCATTTTTGTGTTGTGCAGGACGCTGCTACGAGGAAGACGATTGGCCTGGGCAAGCAACATAATGACCTCTACTACCTAGCACAAGACCAAAATCCAGCCTTGGCCTACACCATCCGCAAACATTCCAACCTTTGGCACCAGCGTCTTGGGCATCCATCATTCGGCCTTCTTCAAGTTCTTACCAAGAGTAATCCTGTAATTTATTTTGATTCCAAGCATGTTGGTGAAATTTGTTCTTTAGCCAAGCAAACTCGTTTACCTTTTCTATCTAGTGTCATTTCTTCTCAAGTACCTTTTGATTTGATACATTGTGACATTTGGGGACCACATCAAATAAATTCCCATTTTGGGGCTTGTTATTTCTTAACAATTGTTGATGACTTTACTCGCTATACCTGGATACATCTTATGAGTTTTAAATCTGAAACACAAGGGATATTGCAATCATTCATTTCGATACTAAGGGAATTATTTTTCATCATTCATGTACCTTAACTCCCTAACAAAATGGGGTGGTTGAGAGGAAACATCGCCATCTTTTAAATGTGGGAAGCGCTCTTCATTTTTAAGCAAACTTGCCATTGAAATTTTGGGGGAAAAGTGTTCAAACGGCTTGCTATTTAATCAATTGCTTACCCACACCTCTTCTTTCTCATAGACCACCATGCCAACTTCTTCGCCACAAGCTACCTACATATAACCATCTTCGAACCTTTGGGTGTCTTTGCTATGCTACCAATCTCCTACCCGCACATAAATTTAATCAAAGAATTCATCGTTGCATTTTTCTTGGTTACCCTCTTGGTCAAAAAGGTTATCGGGTTTATGATCTTGCAACTAATAAATTATTTTCTTCCTGAGATGTTGTCTTTTATGAACATATATTTCTATTCCACAATAATCCACAAGAACAACAACATGATGTGGTTGTTCTTCCTCTGCCACACATTTCAGATGAACAACCAATTACCACAAATACAACCAACCCACAAGCCGATTTACCTCTACCAGTCTTATCTACATCTTTTGTCCCTGCCTCAAATGAATCCACACCTGCACATGACACCATTGTGCCACCACCTCATCCTGCTACTCGCCGCTCTGACCGTACCAAACAACCTAATGTCAAACTCCGAAATTTCCACCTTTACCACACGGCCACGATTGCTCCCAAATATTCTTCTTCCTCGTCAGGTACACGTCACCCTTTACCTCGGTATCTTTCTTATGCACAACTCTGTAGACACTAAAATTTTAATGGACTTTGGTATTGACAAATTGACCCATCAAATATAGGTCTAATGTTTGATTAAGTTATTTAATTGGTCCAAGCTTGGTCCACTTAAATTATTTAATTAACCCAGCCCATATGATTAAATGAAAAGATAATTATTCCAAATAAAATATATTTGGAATAATTATATTTAAGGATAATTATCATAATATAACCGGTCCGGCCCAGTTATAATTTTATCTTTATTAGGAGATGACACGTGTCATCATCATATTAATCCAAGAAGCTTATAAATAGAAGCCTGGAGGAAAAGGAAAGATACCCAAATTCAGAATTCAAAAATCTAGAATTCCAGAGAGAAATACAGAAACTCTCATCCCCAACATCCAAACCCAAAAGCGAAAAACACCAAGTACATCAAATCGTGCCGTTCTTCATCAAATTTCATAGTGATCAATAATAAGCACATCCAAACACGTGTCGTTCTTCATCCAAATTCCACGGTAATTCAAAATCAAGCTCGTGCACCCCTTGGATCCAACCAACCAAAAAGGAGATCGAATCAGAGGACCTTATTCTTTGTAAAGAATATTACAGAAGATTGTACTCCAATTTTTCCAAATTAATAAAATATTATTTTTGCTTCATATTTTGTTTTTATTTGCAGATTACAAAATTTTTGTGTACAAATTCTCACCAACATATCAGAATTTTGTTTGTGCTATCACTACACTTGTGGAACCTGTAACTTATGAACAGGCAGTATTGGATCTGACATGGCAGGAAGCTATGATTACAAAATTACATACTCTTAAATAAAACCACACATGGACGCTCACACTTCTTCCTTCAGGTCACCGTCCAATCGGGTGCAAATGGGTTTACAAGATTAAACATAATTCCAATGGCACAATTGAGTGATATAAAGCTCGGTTGGTAGCGAAAGGCTTCACTCAACGCGAAGGGATTGACTACAAGGAAACATTTGCTCCCATGGCCAAGTTAACTACAATTCGTTGTTTATTTGCAATCGCTGCTGTCTGAAATTGGTCACTCCACCAAATGGATGTTCAAATTGCATTTCTCCATGGTGATTTACTCGAGGAAGTATATATGCAGCTGCCTCCCGGTTTTCGTTGACAAGGAGAGACACTTATGGTATGTCGACTCAACAAGTCACTATATGGGCTTAAACAAGCCTCCCGTAGCTGGTTTCAGAAATTTTCTATTGTTATTCAGCAATATGGCTTTCATCAATCTATAGCAGACTATTCACTTTTCACAAAGATCTCTGGTAATTCTTTCACAGTTGTGCTCATCTACGTAGATGACATGATCATAACCAGCAATAATGATAATGCAATTGCTGCTCGTTCTACTGATGGTGTTTCAATATCTCAACGAAAGTACACTCTTGATATCTTAGATGAAACAGGCTTGCCTGGGGCCAAACCATTGCCGATACCTATTGAAGAAAATATTTAGCTCATGCTCATAGTTGGAGATCTATTAAAAAATTCATCCACTTATAGAAGAATGGTTGAACAACTTATTTATCTTAGCATTACAAGGCCAGAGATAAGTTATTCAGTTCACATTCTAAGCCAGTTTTTGCAAGAACCAAGGAAACCTCATTTAGATGTTGTTCATCATCTTTTGCGATATCTTAAAGGTGCACCTGGGCAAGGACTATATTTTCCAGCCAAAGAAAACTTGCTACTAACAGGATTTTGTGACGCAGATTGTGCTCGATGTTCAATCATGAGACGATCTATGACCGGTTATTGCATTTTCCTCAGAGAAGTTCTTGTTTCGTGGAGAACCAACAAACAAACGATGGTGTCGAGGTCCTCAGCAGAATCAGAGTATCGAGCCATGACTTCCATCACGTGTGAACTTACTTGGCTTAAATATTTGCCGAACGACTTACGGGTAGAGCACCCTTATCCGGCTAAACTATTCTGTGACAGTCAAGCAGTGCTCCACATTGTTGCCGATCTAGTTTACCATGAACGCACCAAACATATAGAAATCGATTGCCATGTTGTTCGAGAATGAATTCAGTCAGGTACCATAGTAACTGCTCATGTTCCATCAGTCTGCCAGCTTGCCGATTTGTTCACTAAGCCACTCAGCTCATCAACTTTTCATTCCCTTCTCAGCAAGTTTGGCGTTCTTGACATACACGCTCCAACTTGAGGGGGAGTATTACAGGAAAAATGAAGATATACATAATTGTAGGAATGAGATTTGCTGATTATAGAATTATATATATGCAATTAATTTTCGATTGATTGTAATTGATCATCTTTATGTAGTTTCCTGGAATAGGTTAGCTGATGTACTGTATAAATTTACTCTTCCTCTTTTGTAATAATAAAAAAATTCAATATACATAAAATTCCCTAATAGTCAGTTTCTTTTACAAGCACAAGGGTATTTTCATCTAAAAAAATATATGAGAAAACTTATGCTCTGTTCGGTAGGAAGGAAGGAAGAGGGGTGGAAGGAAAATAAGAGGGAAAGAACAAAATTCCTTCGTTCGGTAAGAAGGAGACACGGAGAGAAAGGATAACAGGAGGGATGACTTATCCCTCCTTCTTTATGCTCTATTCATTAGGAAGAAGAAAATTGGATGGAAGGGAGAGAAGAAGGGAATGATGAGACATCCCTAGGGAAGAGATTATGAACTTCCCTTGTTTTGTTCGGTTGGATGGAAGAGAAGAGAAGAACCTACCAAATTCCTTTGTTTTTTAGGAAGGAGGGATGATAGAATTTAAATTTATTTTTACCATTATACCCTTCATTATTTTTTTTCTAGTTATCATCTTTGTTACTCATTTGAACAGTACCATTAATTTCACGACATTTTGTTGTTTGCTTTATGTATATATACATATATATATGTATATATATAAAATCATATTTCATCATGAATAATAATAATATAAAAAAGTACCCCACTATCTACTTGACAAATATTAAACAGGCTAATGGTTGATAAATATTAAACAGGCTAATGGTCGGCAAAACACTAGACAAGTGCATATATGTCTACTACAGTGAGCAATTGGTCAATCAAATATTTATTTCCTATTAAAATTGCACCATTTGTAGTCACATAAACTGTCTTCAACCATTTAAAATAACAAACACTTGCCAAAATCAAAATTCCAAAAGACATAACTAAAATCCACCATTCTTATGAAAAAAAAAAAAAAAAAAAAAAAAACACATTAATGTCAAAGAATGAAAAAAAAAAAAAAAAAAAAAAAAAAAAAAAAAAAAAAAAAAAAAAAAAGAAGAAGAAGAAGAAGAAATCCGGTGAAGTTAAAGACTCCAAAACAATAAACATTCAAGAGTTCGTTGAAGTTAAAGACTTCAAAATAATAATCATTCAAGGGTTGGTTGCATCATCCATCATCTTATACGACAAATCCTTGCGTCTCTCAGATGGCACGGCAAAGAATGCACTTTTGTGAGTCTGACTTTTAATAAGAAATATCAATGCATCCAACTGAAGTTCCTCAGGTACCCCAATATTTAACAATTCTGCAAACACTTCATCTTCTGAATAGTAACGTGGTCGAGCTCTCTCAAAAAAATAGCAATTCTTTTTTCTACAATTGCAAGCCCTCTTTCCGCAACAAGATTTCCCTTCTCGATTGCCTCTGCTACTTTGTTAATTCCACCTCCGATAACTTCACACTCTTTCTCAAATAAATTAATCACCGACTCCTTTCTTTTTGTGCCCCTTGAAGATGTAACAGCTTCTGAATTTGGTTGAGAAGATGCACTCATGGGAGAATTTTTTTCATTATTGTTTGAATTTTTATTAGCTTGGTTCGAACTTCCATCTCTTGCCCATCCTTGAACTTTTGCTTTTGCACTTACAGTGCCATCACCATTAGCTCTATCTTTTGCAAAAAGATCATACAATTTCTTATAAAATTTTATTTTAGTATGCCTCCATTTCGATGCTGATGGCTTTGCCTGCAAAATGTTTATAATAAATAAATAAATCATAATAACAATATTTGTTCTATAAATAATTTCATACCTCTATAAGGGCCTTCCAAACTTCGGGTTCTGCCTCGAACAATTTTGTTTCTGGACTCCATGAAAATCCACTTAAATTTTTGAATAGATCATAAAATGCATTGAAGTTAAGTTTCAAGGTTTTCATCCAGTTTTTTATGTGGTCCTTATCAAATGGATAACCAATTTTTTCAGTGCATTTTTTTACAACATTTGAATATGCTGTAGAGGTGAATGTTCCATCAACTCTATTACCATTTTCTTCTTGCTCCAACAATGCATCAATTAATACTTCATCCATTTCTTCTGTCCATCTTAGTGCATTCTTCTTATTTTCAGTTGCGTTCATATCTTTATTCGCTTTCTTCATCATTTTCCAAGTACGCATTTTTCAATGTCATATGAAAAATAAATATAAGAAACAATTAATCACATCAACAAATTAACACAAAAATTTCACCACATTAGAGAAGTCACACAGACTATAAAAATGTAGGAGGTTTTATTGCTCTACTAATACGACACCAATAGATATTAAAATAGTTAAACACGAAAAAAAAAAAAAAAAAAAAAAAAAAAAAAAAAAAAACATAATTATGCTCCATGTCCTAAATAATCCTCCCACATGCTAACTGTTTTGAATTCCTTATAGTTGCTCCTTCAATAGCATCTGCTTCATTATTACTTGTATCAAAGTCTTGTCCATTGTCTAGATCAGCATTAACGTGATCGCGATCAACTTCTGTAATCAATCTTTCATCCGGATCAACACCCATTAGATAATTATGAAGTATACAACAAGCCAATACAATTTCTGTCACGGTGTCAACTCCATAATGAGCTTCTGCCCCACTTGAAATAATTGGAAATCTCTTTTTTACTACTCCAAATATTCTTTCAATTACATTTCGTAAAGAAAAATGTTGGTGGTTAAATAACTCTTCTATATTCTCTGGTGCACGTGATGAGTACTCTTTCAAGTGGTAGTGCACACCTCTATATGGTGTAATCAGCCCACCATTTAGCATGTAACCTCCATCCACTAGATAATATTTACCTATAGCAATAAGTAATAAAAAAATCATTTATTTGTTTAAAAATTAAAAACTATATATTATTGTCTTTGAATTACCTGTAGGGATGATTAGTTTATCTTGACTCTCTTTTAGTGCATTTTTAATTATCCTTGAGTCAGTTGCAATTCCTTCCCAACCCGGTAAAACATACGTAAACTTCATGTCGAATGGCATACTGCTAAGACATTTTGTGTTGGGTAGTCTTTTCTTCCTCGATATCTCGGTGCATCTGTTTCAGACACTTTGACACGAATATGAGTTCCATCTATTGCTCCTACACAGTCCTGAAATTATTGAAAACACTTCTATAATTTTCATATGTGGATATAATAATGTGAATTAGTGGTTTAATATTCTGTTACCTTGAAATACGGATATAGAATCTATTGTTGTTGAGTATTTCTGGAGGGACGTTTGAACCACTTGGTTGTTGTAGAAAAATTTCTTCTAATGTGATTATTGCTCTTAACACGTCATGGAAATGACAACTAATAGTGTCACCGGATCGGCAAAAAAAAAAAAATCAAATGGCACGGTTTTTCACATTACGTGCTAATATATAGAGAAACTTGGTCACTTGCTCCTCGACTAAAGCATTTTTATTGTCCTTGAGGCGACCAGTGCCACGGAGTATATGGCACAACTTGGCAAATGCATGTGGCCTCATACGAATTATGTCACGATAATTTTCATTTGAAGCAAGTTTATTTATTAGTTGTTCTCTTGCTCTTTGTTTGTCTTCATTGATGTCGTTGATAGGCCTATCTATATAATGTGAACGGAATACCTCTCCCATCAAATAAAGAGCATAAACAACATAACAAATTACTTGTACCGCTGCCATTCGTCGTTGTTGTTCCCAAGCATTCAATTGCCCTACGCTATCTTCCCACTAATTTTCTTCACCACACTCATCTAAATTCTCCTCTTTATTCTCATCCCAATTATCATGTATATTTTCTCCAAAATTATCATGCCAATTATGTTCCTTGTCCATCTACCAAATAAATGTCATTTGTATCTAAATAATTAGTGAAACAGTTTTTCAAATTACACACAATGTTATAAAGGTAAAATGTTTAATTAATTAATATATATATATATATATATATATATATATATATATAATTCTCCACAGTTATACAATTATTTAATAAATGTTTAATTAATATTTTTATTTATTAAATGGTACTGTTTAGGCATTTGATGAACAATGAAAACCTACCCACAATTTTTAATGGATTTGCAGAAACATGAACATTTCAGGTTCTTGTGTCTTCCTTATTTATGCTATTTTCTATGATGGTAGTTTTTGTAATGATTGTTAGAACACCAATTATTCAAGTTAATTTATGTAAGAACTACAGAAACATGATGGGGTTGCGATAATTTTCTACATTATACTAAAATATTTGACTTGTAGAAACAAGCTCTTCTACTATTGTGTTGAATTGTGTATTTTAGTATCTGTGATCAGGCCTGTCATCCTTAGATTTTTAACCTATGCTCTGTTCGTGGTCAGAACAGTTTAGCATTTCATAAAGCACTCTCAGAGCAACCTAAGGATCCTTTGGTAGTCGCTGCATTTAGCCTTGCCGTCCACAATGGTGGAGATATGTCGGAAGCCTTAAATATAACGAACAGTATCTCTATAGCACATGACGACATCTTAAGTTAATTTATTAGAACCTCAGAATCTGAATTCTGATGCATTGGTGGATGAGGTTATGAACAGTATCTCCAGAGCACATGTGTTATATCTATTATTTTAAGTTAATTTATAAGATAATATAGAAATCCCATATTGTAGATTATCTAAAGTTCATACGCAGCATAGCAAACAGCAGATTAACATCCGATTTCAAAATTTTCACCTTGCATCAATAGCAATATATATACACCACATGAATCAAATCTACTTGTAAATATTGTCGATCTATGTATATGTATAAAGAAGAGAAAGTGCAAGAGAGAGTTTCTTACCTGTGTGAGAGAGATCGCTGGAGAGAGATCGCTAGAGAGAGTTCAACGTGAAGGTCAATTTTCTTGATAGGGTTTTGCATGAGACGAGATGCGTACAGGGTTTATTTTTTAATTTTTGGGAAGGATAATCTTGTAATTTAATAACTCCACTTGTTTTCTCTCTTGTCTTCCGCCTAAATTTGGGCGGATGAAAATTTATAAAGCAGGAGAGATAAGCCATCCCTCCTATTATCCTTTCTTTCCATGTCTCCTTCCTACCGAAGGAAGGAATTTCGTTCCTTCCCTCCTATTTTCCTTTCACCTCTCTTCCTTCCTTCCTACCGAACAGAGCCTTACAAAATTTCATCCGCCCAAATTTGGGCGGAAGGCAGGAGAGAAAACAAGTGGAGCTATTATAAAAATACTAAATTACAATATTATCCTTCCCAAATATTAATTAAAATTAAACCCTACACATCTCATCTCACACAAAACGCTCTCTCCAAACAGGTTTGATTCATGTGTTATATATATATATATGTATGTATGTATGTATAAATATGGATTGTTTGCTATATAATTGCCTTATATATATAAAGGGGAACGTGATATATATACATATATATATGTATATATATGGATTGTTTGTTATATAATTGCCTTATATATATAAAGGGGAACGTGATATATATACATATATATATGTATATATATGGATTGTTTGTTATATAATTGCCTTATTAGTAAAAAAGAGGATTCAAAAGAAAAAATACATAGTCTACATAAAGAACCATACAATGCCATAAAGCATTTTTTAAGAACATATTTAGAACGAAAAAAACTCTATGTTCACACCTAGTTCAAAAAACAGTAGTTATATATGTATATATAAATAAAGCAAACAACAAATTAGAGTGAAATTAATGGTACTGTTCAAATGCGTAGTAAAGATGATGGCTATTTACAGGGGAAAAAAATAATGAAGGGTATAATGGTAAAAATAATTTTAAATTCTCTCTTCCCTTCTCTCCTAACGAACAAAGGAATTTGGTAGGTTCTTCTCTTCTCTTCCATCCAACCGAACAAAACGATGGAAATTCATAATCTCTTCTCTAGGGATGTCTCATATTTCTCTTCTTCTCTCCCTTCCACCCAATTTTCTTCTTTCGTAACAAACGGAATGTTAAAACAACTCCCTTCCTTTCTGCTAGTGTCTATTTGCTAAGTCATTAGCCTAATCGAGAGGAGTATTTTGGTAAAAAAAGAAAAAAAAAAAAAAAAGAAAAAGAAAAAAAAAAGGGGAGTTTAGGACAAAATACAAAAAAAAAAAAAAACACACAAAAAAGTTTAATGCAATTCACCATTTAACTTTTTAAGTCCACAATTTTCTTAGTTATAGACAAAAATCTTTATTGATTTTTAAATGTAATTTAATCCTCCACTAGAATTTGATCCAATGCTAATATATTTTCATGGTACATAAAAGCTTATTTATATTATATATATATTATTGTTTCAAAGAAAGAAATAAGATATGGATAAGTAATCTTTTATTTTAACTCTAGAATTATTTTATTTTATAGATTTTCTAATTAAATTTTTTCATTTTGTTTCTATAAATATTACATTCTTTTAACTTGATTCTTAACGCCCATGTACCTCATTAATAAATAAAAATTATGTTATAAAATTGACATTATGTTCGTTAACATAAACTCTCAGATTTGTGTCCCGACAATTCAAAAAATAATTATTTCCAACCTTTTTGCCTTTTCCTTTTTAAATAAAATATTTAATATGAATTACACATAATATAAAAAATAATTATGTCACATTCAACAAATCAAGATGATGCATTGATGAGAAACCAGTTGCTATTAGAGGGTTGTGCCGGTTGTCAGATGAAAAACCTCTTGTTTGAGCAAATTTTATATTAGATATATATATATATATATATAACAAAAAAGAAGTAACTTGGATCCGCCGTAGCTAAAATCAACGGAAAATTCGATTCTCTCGCGAGAGTCCCGGCAGCGAAAATTTTATTTTATTTTATTTTATTTTTATTTTTGAGAAATCCATCGGTGGTGAGTGAGCCCATACTTTTTTAACTTTTCTTGCTCAATAACTGAAAGCTCATTGGTACCTTATTATATCTTAAAATAGAATAAAAATTGACTTTAATTTTGAAAAATAAGTAAAACCGAATAAAAAGAGAAAAAGCAAAGAAATTTTTTTTTATATATTTAATTTTTTTTTTTTTTTGTAAAGATATTAAAAAACATATCAAATAAAATGTAATTTGGTAATGAAAAAGTTTGTGGAATAAATTTGGTATTAAATAAATTTG